CAGAGGCTCCCACAAAATGCTCAGAGCAGCGATCAGTCTGCAGTGGAAGAAGCTAAATGCCTGAGAGTTGATTTCTCTGATCAAGAGCTGGCATTCACTGTGCAGCTGCCAGGTGCCAAGCACTGCACAGAGCACTCGATGTCCATCCCAGGCCCTCAGAACAACCCATGTGCGTTATTATTACCCACATTTCTCAGAGGAGGGACTGGGCAGAGGGGCTGGGTTTGCCCGGGGTCGCACAGCTAGTAAGCAGCGGAGCAGGTTCAAACTCGGGGTCCACCTTAACCAACGCCCTCCTACCTCCCAGAGGAACAGATCTACAGGTTTCTGAAAGCCGGAGGGCCCTGTAAGGCCCTGGTCATTGCCCAGTCCCTGGGGATGAAGACTGCAAAGGACGTCAACCCAGACTTATATGACATGAGGAGGAAGCACCTTCTGGACCTTGACCAGAATTCAAAGGCATGGGCTATTTATCAACCAGGTAGGCCCTTACCTGCTCCCATACCTGGGTAAGGCAGAGGAAGAGACACCTTAACACCCAGCATTGGTCCTGCTGGACGCCCTGCTAAGCACTTGGCCTGCCCCACCTTCAGAACCTCCCAGAAGCTTGCAGTGATCTTGCTGACCGGTCACTGGAAGGCAGTTCCAGGAGGGAGGGGCATGCTGGGGGAAGTAACCAGGGAAGGCTTCTTGGAGGTGGGGCCTGAGACTGGAGTTGCCGAAGGCAAGGGGCTGGGAGGGAGAGGGGAGTGGCCCACTCCTGACTGTATCAGCCCTGTGTGCAGGGCTCAGCCTGCATTTGCTAACAGTTTTCTGTAGGCATTTTGCCCAACTTGGAGTTTGGACATTGCTAAAGAAGACCAGGCTGGGCTCAGATTGCCACAGGGTGGAGTCCCAGCGCCACTTATCCACTAAGTGCAGCAGCCTCAGGGCCTATAGCCCACTGTTCTTTTACCGGTCCGTGGCAATGTCATTTCTCTTAAAATCAGAAGAGTGAACATTATAGTAATAATGAATAGTTAATAATGACTTTCACCTAGATTATATGTCTTTACCCCAATGCAGTCATAACATGTAATTTAAATTTGTTTTTAACTGAGGAAGGGGCCTGCGAAGGCACCAGAGCCTAAGGCTCACGAAGGTGGGAATGTGGCCCTGTCTGTGGAGTTGGCAAAGCGTCGGGCAGGTGCCAGGCTGGCCCACGTGAGGCAGACGCCGCTGCTCACTGAGACCCCCTTCGTCCCAGGAATGATCACCTGTGACAGTGGCCAGATTTTAAACACCGATGACAAATTCAAATTCTTAAAAATGCCTTCTGAGGCAGACAAAGCTTGTCTGGTGGCCAGAAACAGTCCACGCACAGCCATGTGTAGCATTGGCTGGAGGGCGCTCGGGGGTCAGCCTGTGGCTGCCTCCAAGGGAGAGGGGCAGAGGGCAGGGTGAGCAGGGAGCTCCCTTCATTCTCCCTGGGTAGCAGAGGGCACACAGGTAGGGTGATCTGCCGTGATGATATCCAAGAGAGGGTCATTGAGATGCTGGTGGCATTTGTCAAACATGCTGGTTCCTGGGTCCCACCTAGGGCCTGAGGACTCAGCTCCCCTGGGGTGGGCACCTGGACATCTGTATCTCCAAGCTTTCCGGGAGACTCTGGTGTCGCCAGCTGGCTCTTGGAACCCCTGTCCCCTCGGGAGGTACAAAGGGATTAAGTGAAGTGTTGTTCTGCAGAGGAGCCTAGGGAAACACATCAGTCCACCATGATCGTTTACCAGCAAAACCCAATCACGATCTGTCAGAACGCGCCACACAGCCGCATCTCCATCAACAACTCTGAAGCTGTCCAGATTGGACATGGGAACAGCATCGTGAGACAAACGGCCCCTGGGGAGAGCGGTGAGTCCTCTGAGGGACACCATGAGAAGGGACCTTCGGGGGAAGCTGCTCCATCTGGGTGTGTGCAGGGAATAGGGGGCCTTCAACCCTCTGAGGAGAAAGGGTGGTTTTCAGGTCGCCGCGGTCGTCCTTCGTGGCCTCCTGAGAATGAGGATGTCTTTCTTCGTGCCTGGATCAAACCCTTCCTGATTCCCCTTCATTCCAATACCTTTTATCTCATTTTCCAGGGGACCCAATATTTTTCCATGAGAAATACTCAATTCACTCTCCCTCAGTAGAATGACGCAAGGGGCCATTGTTCTGAGACACACTGTTTCCCCCACATTATAACATCTCAGAAACCGGACAGCATCTCACCAGTAGCACCCCAGTGCTGATGAAATACAGTCCTGCCAGGCACTGTGGTGAGAGGGTCACCCCTCAGTCCAGCCGTGGGACACCAGTGAGAGCATCATCCCCAAAGTGAGAACACTCCCTATGACCTCAAAAGAACCCTTCCCTGCTCTGGGCCTCAGTTTCCCCAACTGTGAAATGAGGAACTTTGTTCTAGAATCTAAACCAACGTTTGCCCAGCTTCAGTCCTCTGAGTTCCCCCTGCTTGATTCCATCCATGCCCATGTCTGATTATTGACTTAATGCTGTTAAATGACTTCCCTTTCATTCTACTCAAAATTATTTAAAAATAAATTTGTATAGCATTACCTTATTTTGGAAACCATGAAGGTCACCATAAAAATAAATACTGAAAAAATAAGTGGCGGAGGTTCTGAGCACTGGTTAGAGATGTATTTACCCAGAGGGGACTTTGTCCTGATGGGCTCAGAGGACTGAGAATGTCTAGAAGGCAGAGGATGTGCTCACTGTTTGGGTTTTGAGTGCACCCCAGTAACACCCCAAAACCTGGGGAGCCCCGTGCTAACTGTTCTGCTGGGCCACCTGTCCAGTGGTGTCCAGGAATAATTCAGAGGCTTGTCTCCTTTGTCCAGGCAGGACTTTGTGTGTGTGGGTGTTGGGAGGGTCAGAGGGTGAAGGTCAGAGGTCATGTTGCTGTGTCTTCTGCCAGGCTTCACGGCTCCCCTCTACCTCCCTCAACCGGCACCAGCTGATCCCTCAACTCAGGATGCCCTGGCTGGATCCAGGGAGCCCCAGGACATCTACATAGACAAGTCTGTGCTCAAACGGGTGCAGCTGGGACACAGCAACGAGATGAGCCTTTACAGCACCCCGGCCATGGGCCCTGGCCACAGCCCCTCTGTCAGCAGCTCCTCTGTCAGCTCCCCAGGTAAGTGGGGAGCACACGGCCATCCCGCCTCACCCCATCTTACCCCACACCCACCACCCCGTTTGGCTCCTCACTAGACAGAGCCTGAGCCAGTCTTGGCAGGGAGAGAGGCATGATGGGAAGTTCCTTTCTGCACACCAGGAGCTGTACCAGAGGGGAGCAGGTGGGGCGCTGAGCGCCAGTACTCAGGCTCCCGGGGCGACTATGGCCCTTAGGAACCCTCAGTGTTTTCATCTGTGCAATGGGCGTGCAGCAGCAGGGCTGGGCAGCTGAAGCAGGGGCAGAGGCGATGGCCAACTGGAATGGCATCTAAGGAGGGCGGAGGACAGGAGCCGCCTGAGTACCTGGTGCCCTACTAAGCACTGGTAACCAGAGACAGGCTGGAGAAGGCCAGAAGGGAGGCCTGTGTGGGAGGGGAAAGCCGGGGGCAGGGGCTCCACGGGGTCCAACAGCAAGGGGTCAGTGGCGGCCTGAGGGGACAGAAGGAGCGTGGGGAATGAGAGGAGGTGAGGCCAAGCATGGACAAGTCCTTCCTGAAGTTTGGGTGGGACAGGTAAGAGCAGGACAGCAGGGGCTGGGGACCCGGCTAGGGGCCTCGAGAAGACTTTAACCGAGGTTGAAACATTGTTCTAGAGCTGCTGGGC